CTGGGTCGGGGCGGGAGGGCGGGGTGAGCCTCAGCGGGGTGCTGCCGTCACTGACCTGCCTGTGCTGAGACGCGGGGATCACAGGGTTAACTGGGGGCAGCGTGAGACCGTCTAGAGCAGTGGTCGCTAACCTTGCACAGCTGGGAACATAAGCAAGACCTGGGCACCGGCCACGGGCTGACCCTGAAACGGGGTCTGTCACTCACAGCCATCGATCCCTCAGCGCATCCAATGTTCCTGTCACACAGTGATGCCCTCATGACTACACCACCCGCCTCCCTCTGCTGAGGCTGCTCAGATCTGCAGGTGGGATCTAGCGGCTACCACAGAGCTGCCCAGACAAGGTCAGCCAAGGTCAGGCTCGGCCGAGGGAGGACGGTCCATGTGCTAACGCTCGGCAACAGAGCTCGCCAATGACAGGGAGGGAGGAGGAAAGACAACTCAAGCCAGGAGCTGATCAAATTTCTACACCTTCCAGCTTTAAAAAATAAGCCACTTCAGCGCTAGCCAGTTTGGCTCAGTGGATAGAGTGTCGGCCTGCAGAGCAAAGGGGCCTGGGTTCGATTCCAGTCAAGGGCATGTACCTCGGTTGCAGGATCCGGCCTGGGCCCTGGTCGGGGCATGTGCAAGAGGCAACCATTTAATGTGTTTCTCTCACATCGATGTTTCTCTCTATCGTTCCCTCTCTCTCCCACTCTCCCTAAAAATCAATGGGAAAATATCCTCGGGTGAGGATTAAAAAAAAAAAAAGCTACTTTAAGGCGGCCTTTCTTGGCAACAACCAATTATTCATGTTTTCGCGTTTAACTGGAAGCGCTCCTGGAGCTACTCAGGGCCGTGCGGACAGTGAATGAAACCGCTGTCATCCTGACCCAGCGGGGCCGGTCCCAAAGACCGACCGGTGACCGGCGGCGGCAGGGCGCCCGACCACACGGCTGCACAGACCCCGGTGCCCACAGTGGAGACACCTCACAGGTCACGAGAGGAACGCGATTTAGTGACTATCAGCGCTGGGTGTCAGAGTGAGAGGCTGATGGTGCCCTCGTGGCCTTCCCAATAACGACTGTGACCTTTCTTCGAGGTGCTTCATGAATCAAGAAAAGAAAAAAACCTTGACTTTTATTTTTTCACTTTGGCTCTGAGAGGCCTGCGGGGTCAAGGACACGGCGTGGAGAAGCCCTGGCGACAAGCTAGTGTGACGTGCGCAGAGGTGTCGGTGAGGTTGCATGCGACCCGTGTGCGGAGGAGGACTCACACGGGGGAGGACTCACACGGGGGAGGACTCACACGGGGGAGGACTCACACGGGGGAGGACTCACGCGGGGGAGGACTCACGTGGGACAGCTTGCTGGGAGACTCTTTGCAGCTCCCGTCCTTCTGCAGGCCTCGGTCCTTGTAGGAGCCCAGGACTTTGGAGGGTGGGCCGTGCCATTTGGTTTCTGTCACACGGAGAGAGAAGAGCTGAGCACCCGATTTCTGGCGTTAACAGAAGAGCCAAGAACACAGGAGCCCAGCACGTTCTGGTAAAAGTAAACAGGACGGTGGCTCTAGGACTTTCTGGTCTTACCAGCGGACATGCCCCAGGGGTGGCAGGACATGCACCATGAAGGCAATGGTCCGGCCCGGCCGGCATGGCTCAGTGGTTGAGCATGGACCTATGAACCAGGAGGTCAGGGTTCGATTCCCGGTCAGGGCACGTGCCCAGGTTGTGGGCTTGATCCCCAGTACAGGGTGTACAGGAGGCAGCTGATCCATGATTCTCTCTCCTCATTGATGTTTCAATCTCTCTCTCCCTCTCTCTTCCTCTCTGAAATCAGTAAAAATATATATTTTTAAAATTGTATATATATAAAAAAAGGCAATGGTCCATTTCTATAGGCACCACCAGCCTGACCCAGCCCGATGACCTCGGAGATCGAGCTGACACCCACCAGCCGTGTGCGGAATAAGCAAGGGGGGGCGGGGACCGGAGCTCCTTATTACCTGGGTGCCTGCCTCCGTCCATAGCGTCCTCCCGGTCCCTGGCTCCTTCACACTCCATAGGGCCCGGGCCCTGGTGCTCGAGCAGCAGCGGGGACTGGCACCTGGAGAGCGCACAGAGCTGAGCCGCCGTCGCCATGTTCCCAGGCGCCCTGGAGCTCACCCGACCTGTGGGCACCTGGGCATCAGGTGAGCCCACGCTGCAAGAGGGGTCCTCAGCCCACTCGGTAGGCAGCTGTCCGCTGCTCTCTAGCAGGAGGCAGGCAAAGGGTGTCTAAGGCGGGCCCTGCCTGCTCTGCAATGTGAGGGGACATTTCCAAGGGCACTGCCCAGAGAGCCCCCAATTCCTTCACGTCTACCTGCTCACAAAGACCTTATAAGAAAAAGCAGCCTGGCCAGCGGGACTCAGGGGAGAGCGTCGACCTATGAACCAAGAGGTCAGGGTTCAAATCCTGGTCAGCGCACATGCCTGGGTTGCAGGCTCCATCCCCAGTGTGGGGTGAAGGAGGCAGCCGATCCATGTTTCTCTCTCATCATGGATGTTATTCTCTCTCACCATGGATGTTTCTTTCTCTTTCTCTCTCTCTCTCTCTCTCTCTCTCTCTCTCTCCCTTCCTCTCTGGAATCAATAAAAATACATTAAAAAAAGAAAAAGCAGGCAAGCTCGAAATACAGACAAATGAGCACTAGCTGCCCAGATAGAAACCAGGAGCCTCTGGCTGGACAGGCTCAGCAGGACCCGCCTGGCATCTTCACCCACTCCCCGCCCTTCCCCAGGGCTGCGTATGCTGCGCAGTCCCTGAAACAGGAGCCCCCAGGCTCCCGGGCCCTCCTGGGACCTCCCAGGCCCTCCCCAGGCCCCCCCAGCCCCTCCCAGGCCCAGCAGAGGGTGGAGATGGGCATACCCGTCGTAGCCCACTTGCGGTCTCCACGGCCCACTCCCACCGGGTCCGGGGTCGCTGGAGGATGACTGGTTGCTGGGCGAACTTCTGAAACGGGGACCAGAATCATTAGCCGGGCACGGAGATCTCTGTGCAGCCAGCACCTGGCCTGGCTCGCTTTCCCAACGAGCCCACTGTCACAAGGAAGGAGTACAGGTGGCAGGTGGGGCAGGGTCAGTGGTGGACACAGAGCGAGACCTCGGGTGCTCACGGCTGGCGCTGCGTCACGGGAGAGACGTGGCCGGAGCACGCAACGTCCCGTGCAGACCGTGTTTCCATGACACATGGAAGCACAGCCATGTGACCCCAGAGGCCGGCGTTATGAACACATCGCAATGATGGGTGTTTGAGACCTCACACGAGACACATTTTAATTCTGTATTTGGTTCTGTGCAGAGAGAAAACCCTAAACCCCACAAAAGCAATTTTAAATGCAACTCACTTTGCTTAAAAGGAGGAAAGCCAGGAAAAGGTCATGATGTGGGGTCCCCCGAACACACCGCCACGGGGAAGATGGGGTTCATCCCTGATGGGGCAGCCTCGTTTCTACTCAGCGCTGCTCGCATGGACCTAGAGCAGCAGTTCTTAACCTTCCCAATGCCGCGACCTTTTAATACACGGGGTCCTCGTATGTGGGTGTACCTGCATGTGGGGGTACCTGCATGTGGGCGGACCCGCCTGGAGACGGATAGAGGAGCGGTGTCTCGGTTCCTAAGACCATCGGAAATATGTGTTTTCCGATGGTCTTAGGCGACCCCTGTGAAAGGGTCGTTCGACCCCCAAAGGGGCCGCGACCCACAGGTTGAGAACCACTGACCTAGAGGGTCTGAGCTGACCCGGAGGACCGCGAAGGGAGGGGTGAGCGGGGCCCTGGTGGTGGAATCTGTGATTAGGACCCTCATTTTTTTCCTATTTATTTTCCAACTACAGTTGGCATACGGTATTATGTTAGTTTCAGGTGTACAGCAGTGATTGGCCATATGCACTTTACCAGGGGATGCCCTGAGGTTCCCAGGATGCACCTGGCACCGTGCACAGTCCCTACAATACTGCGGATTCTGTCCCCTAGGCTGCACGTTACGTCCCGTGACTGTCTTACACTCAGTCCCTTGCAAGGACCAGCGTGTCATCTGCTCCATCGCAGAGCCAGGGCCAGGGGGCTCCCGCATCCCTGCACCCCAGGCCTGCCCCAGCCCTGCCTGCCCACCTGTCAAGAGGAAAAGCCGACTCAGCACCCCACAGCCCCATGGGCAGGCCCCCCACAGCCAGGCTGCGCCCGACAGGACACTGCGGCCTTCGGAGGTGGCGCCACGGGGGGGCGGGCGAGGCTCTGGGCAGGGGCTGCAGGGCCGGGGTGGGCACCCGGTGCCACGTGGTGTTCCTCCGGAAGGGGGTCTTGTACTCGCAGGGGGTGCCCTCGCTGTCCAGCTTGTACTCCACCATGGGGATGCGGCAGAGCTCCGAGCAGCCCCTGCG